GGCTCCCAGAATTCCCTTCCCAAGAAGACACATGGGGACTGGGAGGAGCACCTGAGTCTCCAAGGAAGCACCCAGGGCCACCAAGAGGCAAAGGCACCCGCTGGGGACCGGATCCCACTGAGTCTGGGGATCCAAAGGCAGCTGCAGCCACCAACAGTAGGTGCTCCTTAGACAGAAGGATCTAGAAACACCTAAGCTGGCCCTTGGCCAGCACTGGCCCCTGGTCACCACCAAAGCCAGGCCTGAGCTCACCCACAGGCCCACAGCAAAGAGCACACGCCCAGCGTGGCCCTCATGCTCAGCAGGACAGGGGCCAGTTCTGCAAGAGGCCCACTCAGAGCCTTGATCCTGCTTAGCCAGACACCTTGACAGCCTCTGGCCAGCTTCCACCCACATCCGTCACTTTAGAATCCCTCCCTCGGGGTCAGTCACGAGCACGCGCTCCCTGGGGATAGCTCAGGACCCGTCCTTGGGCCTGGAGACGGCGAAGGGGTGCCATCCTGCCTCATCTCGGTGGCTGGAGAAGGGTCTGCACACCCAGAGCAGTGGGAGGTGCGCCCACAGGCCGGGTGTTCAGAGGAGACCACCTCGAAGCACCTCACTCCTTTGAAACTCACTTTGTGGGCCACCCCGAGGGCAGCAGAGGCCACAGCTGGGCCCCGGTGGGACCTGAGGCCTCAGGAGCTCCAGGTGCCCGCGCCTCCTCCCCAGGGGCCCTCCCTGCCCCAGCACCTGAGCCCAGCTCATCCCGGGGTCAGGCAGAACCAAGGGCCAGGCAGCCTGGTCACAAAGGCCGCTGCCCCTTGTGCCCGCAGCCTGGGGAGAGCCAGCAGGAGGATGCCAGGTGGGTCAGGTGCAGCCCTGCCCTCCCCTGGGGGCCTGCCACAGCCGGGCACCACCTGACCCACCCTGTGGTTTCCCTCGGAACCACAACTGCTCCCAGGAAACAGGGCGTTTACCCCTTAGCCTCCCACACAGCATCTGTCCCTAGCTTGGATGGGCGGGTGGCCAAGGACTGTCCATCAGGGAGGGACAACACAGGCCAAGCCTGATCTCCCCAGACCTCACCCCCAGGCCCTCCAGTTCCTGGCCCACCATGCTGGTCACCCATCCCACCTGCATCCCTTCTGAGGTCTAGCAATGTGTCTGAAAATCTCTCTGAGGGCACTGAGCCTGCAGAGCCCCGGCCCTCAGACCCCTGCATGGGGACCACTGATGCTGGGAGTCCTAGGTGGAGGGGACAGGGTCCCGATGGCCCTCCCCAGAGACTTTGCACATCCCTCCCAGGACCCCATGGTGACAAGCCAGGCTCAGGTTGCCTGTGGCCTCCCTGGGTGTGCACATGGTCCTCCAGGGGACTCAAAGCGGGAGGGAAGCCCTGCCCAGCACAGCCCTGCTCAGCTTCCCCACACCACGGCTTCTCCAGCCCTGTGGAAGCAGAGGACTCCGGTGGCCCCTTTGTGCCTTGCCTGAGTCAGGGGGACACCCTAGTTCCTGCTCTGCCGTGGACGCTGAGGCTTTAATTGTGTCCCTCAACCCTAGGGAGAACTTCTGCTGGACTGTGCCCTGCGCCTGGTGGGCTGAAGCAAACTTCTCAGACCACAACTCAAATGCCTTATTCCAGGTCTCGGGACCCCGTATTCACCATCAGGCACTCCCTTAAAGGAGGGGTGTCTGAGCTTCAGGGTTCAACCTCCTGTGTTACCCAGCACTCTTACCATCAGGTCCTGGGCCCAATTTTCAAAACAGCCTGCCCTCTGCCTACAGAAAATTGGGCTTCTTACAGTCCTACCATAGAGATTTTCTAATTTTCACCCCAATCTCTGAGTAGTTGACAGGGGCTCCCCTGAGACTACCATTTCATTTTAGTGTCTGGTTTCACTAAACAACAACAAGCTGTCCCCACTGTCCTTGCAGCTCCCCTGATAGCCACCAGCCACATGATCACCACTGCTCCGGCCTCTCTCCAGGGCCAGGGAAACTGCATAACATGACCCCTCCCATCCTAGCCTCATCCCACGTTGATGATCCAAGAAAGGTTATTTACAGAGGTCCAGTGGGACGTAAGACAGCCAGAGGGCTGGGGCAGCAAGCTCAGTGACAGTGGAGCTGTCACAGCCATGCCTGAACACGTGTTTAGACAAGACACTTGAAAACAGAGTGACAGATTGAACTCTGCTAAGATCAAGAGGCTGTGTCTGTCAGAAGACACCTTCCACACGCCGAGGAGACAAGGGGCCACCTGGTAAAATGCACTGCGATATCTACAGCCAGCAAAGTAATGCCATCAAGGATGTGTGAGCAACTGTCACCACAGAAAGAAAGGCACAGACACCTCAGGAGAAACTCACGGCCAAAAGACCTAGACAGGCACCGCCAAGAGGAGGAACACATAATAAGGCCCAGGCACATCTTGAAAGATAGTTAACTTCATTAATCATGGAAGCATCAAACCAGAGCAGAATGAGATAAAATTTTATCAAAATGAAATTGGCAAGATCTCAGTCTGGCTGTAAGCATCAGGATGCGGAGCCACGGAGCAGGAACACACTGCTGGGACCACCTGGGAAACACTGCTTTAGGCAGCTTTTTCATTGCTGTGACCAAGAAACCAGACAAGAACGCCTTCAAGGAGAAAAGGGGCACTTAGGGGCTCATGGTTCCAGAGGTCTCAGTCCACAGACGGCCGGCTGCATTCCTCAGGATTCAAGGTGAGGCTGGACATCAGGGCTGAAGAGTGTGCGAGGGGGAGGACATCACACCAGGAAGAGGGGAAAGAGAGTCTCCACTCAGCAGATACAAAACACAGACTCTGAAGGCCCACCCCTACCTACCTCCTCCAGCCACAACCTACCGGCTACAGTCACCACCAGATTAATCCCTATCAGCAGATTAATTCACTGATTGGGCTAAGGCTGTCATCAGCCAATCATCTCACCTCTAAACCTTCTTACATGGACTCACACATGAGCTTTGGGGGACACCTCATATCTAAACCATAACATTCTGCTTTTGTGCCCCAAAAGCTCATGCCCATCTCACAATGTAAAACACACTTAGTCCATCTCCAAGGTCCCCACAGTCCCAACAGTTCCATCATGGCCCAAAGTCCAAGTCCAAGTCTCCCCTGAGATTCAGGGTGAACTCTGAGTGTGTAAAAATCAAAATGGACAAAAGCAAGTCATACGTGTCCAATGTAGGCAATATATAAAGGCACAGAGTCAACATTTCCACACCAAAAGAGAGACGTAGGGCACAGAAAGAAGGGCGCTCCAAAAAACTTTTTGACTAACATGGTCAGGTTAGTCACGTTAATGACCCCACTCCTGGTACCAACTTCTGTTTTAGTCAGACTTTTCATTATTGTGACAAAAGGATTTGACCAGAAATTTTAAAGATAGAAAGTTATTTGAGGGCTCACAGTGTCCATAGACAGCTGGCTCCATTCCTCAAGGCTCAAGATGAGGCAGGACATGGTAGCAGAAGACTGTGGTGAAGGGAAACAGCTCACAGGATGGTCAGAAAACAGAGAAAGACTAAACTCCAAATACATACCCCAGAGGTGCACCCCCAGGGACCCACCTCCTTCAGCCACTCACTATCAGCCTACAATCACCACTCAGTTAATCCCTATCAGGGGATTAATTCACTAATTGGGTCAAGAACCTCGTAACCCAACACCTCATCTCTAAACTTCTTGTACTGCATCATACATAAGCTTTTGGGGGACACCTCACATCTGAACTGTAACAACAGTGTATCATGGTCTTTCAGTGCTGGGTATTTCCATATTCTGCCTCCAAGGAATTGCAGCCCCAGGTGTGAACTGGAGAGGACCCTTTGCATGTATACTCCAGAAAACACGTGTGTCAGTTGGATCCCCGAGAGTCCTAAAGTGGGTGCAGATTTACACTTAGGACTAGAATGAACAACTGTGGCTGGGAGGAAAGACCTGGAGGGCACCGTTGAGAATCACCGAGCAGAGAGCTTCAAGGGAACTATCTACAAGGCCCGTGGAGGGCTCTCGCCTCCATGACTGGAGGAACGCCTGGGGATGCTGCTGGTCATCAGGAAGGAAGTCAGGAAGAAAACTGGATAAAACCCAGCAGAGCACAGAGCAACCTGGAACCCACAGCAAAAACTGAGTCCCTGAGGAAACTCCAGAACCTCAACTCTCGGCCCACAGAGGCTGCAATGTCGAGTGGAGCTCTGCACACCTGCAGACTGCACACCTGCCTGGCCCAGCCCCTGCAGACCCCAGGGACCATCACAGGGTTGGGTCTTCCTGTCTGTGAACATGGAGTACCTCCCCACGGAGATCATTCTTGGTTTCTTTCATCAGAGTTCTATAGTTATATATACATATCTTGCACATTTCTGTTTAAATTTATAACTAAGTTTTTCAAGTTTTGGTGCTGATATAAATGACACTCTTCTATTTCAAATTCTAAATGTTCCATGATGATATATATAAAATACATTGACTTTAAATGTTAAACTTTTATCCATCAACATAGGTGAATGTGCATTAGTCCTAGGAGATTTTTGCCAGTTCTTTGCATCCCGCACGCAGAAGTGGGCTTACCCAGGGACAAAGGCCACTCTGTATTCCCACCAGAACTTGTGCCTTCCCTCTCTTCTCACAGTCCCTAACCAGGCCTCCCAGTGCAGCACTGGGAGCAACACTATGGAGGGCCTTGCTCTTGACCTTGGGGAGACGGCATGAGGTTCCCGGCCACTGTCAAACAAGGGCTTCTGGAAAGAGCCTCTAACAGTTTGAGTACATCATTCTCTATCCAAAGTTTGCAGAGAGTTTTATGATAAATCATGTTGCATTTTATCAAACATATTTTCTTCATTTATTGATAAAAACACAGGATTTTTCTTCCTCAGCCAATTGATGTGATGGATTATCTAAAACGATTGTTGCGTATCTAATCTTGCTGTAGTAGTCAATTTCTAGATAAGCAGAACCAAATGGAAATATAGATGAGATAGAGATGGAGATGGAGCTAGACAAGGAGATGGACATGAAGATGGAGGGGGAGGTAGAGATGGAGATGGAGAAAAACAAGGAGATGGACATGAAGATGAAAAAGGAAATGGAGGGTTGATGGAGATGGGGGGGAGATGGAGATGGAGCTGAGATAGAGGGGAGATGAAGATGAAGGGGTAGAAAAAATGGAGATGTAAGGAAATATGAGGGAGAGATCATGATGGAAATGGAGATGGAGAAGAGATGGAAGGTGGGTAAGATGGAGATGAGGATGGAGATGGAAGGGAGATAGAGATGGAGGGGAGATGGGGATAAAGAGGAGATGGAAATGGAAGTGTAGATGGAGAAGGAGATTAGATGGAGATGGAGATGGGGGATGAAGATGGAGATGGAGGGGGGATGGAGATGGAGATGGAGGGGGGATGGAGATGGAGGGGGAGATGGAGATGGAGATGGAGGGGGAGATGGAGATGGAGATGGAGGGGGGATGGAGATGGAGGGGGAGATGGAGATGGAAGTCTAAGAGGAGATGGAGATGGAGATAAATAGGTGATGGAGATGGGGATGGAGGGGAGATAGAGGGGGATGGGAGATGGAGATGGAGATGGGGGATGAAGATGGAGATGGAGGGGGGATGGAGATGGAGATAGAGATGGAGATGGAGATGAAGATGGAGATGTAAGAGGAGATGGAGATGAAGATGGAGATGTAAGAGGAGATGGAGATGAAGGGGGAGATGGAGATGGAAGGGAAGATGGAGAGGAGGGGGGAGATGGAGATGGAAGGGAAGATGGAGAGGAGGGGGGAGGGGAGATGGAGAGGGAGATGGAGATGGAAGTCTAAGGAAAGTTGGAGATGGAGACGGGGTAGGAAGGAGAGATAGAAATGGAGGGGGAAATAGAAATGGAGATGGGGATGGAGGGCAAGATGGAGATGAAGGAGGAGGGGGATACAGAGATGGGGTGAAAGAGGTGATGGAAAAGGAAGGGGAGATGGAGTTGGAGATGGATATGAGGAGACGAAGGTTGAGGGTCTGGTGGATATGGTGGAAGAGTTTGACATGGAGATGGAAGGGGAATGGAGATGGAGGGGGAGATGGAGATGGAGATGAAGGGGGAGATGGAGATAAAGATGAAGATGGAGATGTAAGAGGAGATGGAGATGAAGGGGGAGATGGAGATGGAAGGGAAGATGGAGTGGAAGGGGGAGGGGAGATGGAGAGGGAGATGGAGATGGAAGTCTAAGAGGAGATGGGGATGGAGATGAATAGGTGATGGAGATGGGGATGGAGGGGAGATAGAAGGGGATGGGAGATGGAGATGGAAGGGAAGATGGAAAGGAGGGGGGATGGGAAATGGAGATGCAAGTCTAAGGGAGATGGAGATGGAGAAGAATAGGTGATGGAGATGGGGATGGAGGGGAGATGGAGGGGGGGAATGGGAGATGGAGATGAAGATGGAGATGGAAGTCTAAGGGGAGATGGAGATGGAAGTCTAAGGGGAGATGGAGATGGAAGTCTAAGGGGAGATGGAGATGGAAGTCTAAGGGAGATGGAGATGGAGAAGAATAGGTGATGGAGATGGGGATGGAGGGGAGATGGAGGGGGGGGAATGGGAGATGGAGAGGGAGATGGAGATGGAAGTCTAAGGGGAGATGGAGATGGAAGTCTAAGGGGAGATGGAGATGGAAGTCTAAGGGGAGATGGAGATGGAAGTCTAAGGGGAGATGGAGATGGAAGTCTAAGGGGAGATGGAGATGGAAGTCTAAGGGGAGATGGAGATGGAAGTCTAAGGGGAGATGGAGATGGAAGTCTAAGGGGAGATGGAGATGGAAGTCTAAGGGGAGATGGAGATGGAGATAAATAGGTGATGGAGATGGGGATGGAGGGGAGATGGAGGGGGGGGAATGGGAGATGGAGATGGAGATGGAGATGGAGATGGGGATGGAGGTGGTAATGAAGATGAAGGGGAGATGGAGTTGGAAAAGGTAGAGAGGTCTTAAGAAATCATCACCAGTGTCATAGTGTCTGGGAAGTCTGAACCCTCCCAGGAGGCCAGTAGTCTGACCCAGTGGAACAGCTGATCCTCCAGCCAAAGTCCAGAGACATGGGGATCTCCCTGGGGCCTCAGCCTGTCTTCTCCTACAGTCTTCAGTGATGGAAAGGCCCGCATCGACTATGGAGGATGCTCGGCTTTACTCAGTTGACTGACTTAAACGTCAAGCACATCTGAAAACCTGAAGAACACAGATCTGGGTACCCAGGCCTCGAGGATTAACACACAAATCACCCACCACGTCTGCACACCTGGAAGCTCACAAAGAATAGAATTTTTATACCTTGTTGACTCAAGTTGCCAGCACTTTGTTGTCATCAGACTTCACATTGTCAATATTGATGCTGTACCTTGAGGCCAGGGGAGGCTGCAGGAACTGGCTCAGGAGAGGGAGGGAGCCACAGGAGCTGGAGTCGGGGCTGGGAGGCTGTGGGTCCTGCTCAGGCCTGGGCCCAACCTGCTGAAGCTTGGGGTTGGCCTTCTGCCCCCTTCAGCCTGCAGCTCTGGGCCAAGACATTGAAACCCACACATGAGCCATTTCATTTGGCTGCTAGCTTCCTTCACCAGGGAACTGGAAGGAGGAGGTTGGCTCAGAGGGGAAATAGCAGCTTTGGAAGTTAAGAATGTGTAAATCATAGAGAAAATCCTACTATACACAGAGTGTTGAAGAGACCCACTTCTTCTAGACCCCCAACGGTAACAGGCAGCACCCCTAAGGTTTTCAATGACAAAGTTGGTGACAAACGTCTGAGTCCGTGGTGAGGCCTTTCCATCCATGGTGCTGCCAGAGGTAAGTTATTCGCTTTTAAAAATAAAGACATGGCCATGAGTAATCAAAGAAATAGGCAGTTAGGAAAGCTGCCGAGGAAAGGTTGTTGTGTCTGGCTAGTGAAAGCCATGGATGCTAAGTCAACTAAATTTCTGAGCATATATATTGCCAGAGAAGCCACAGGCATGGCTTCTGGAAGCCCGCGCTTATTTAGCTCAGTGGGTAGTGGCTGCCAAGCTGCTGGGTCCTCACTTCAGATGTCAGGGACAGAGCAGGCTCTGTCTTTTGTGCGACTGTCACAAAGCACCTGAGGGTGGTCATTTATAAGACATAGAAATGTACTCTTTAAGGTTCTGGAAAATGAGAAGTCCAAGACAAAGGGCCAGCACCTGGTGAGGCCTGCTTGCTGCACCCTGCCGTTGAGGAAGGCAGACGGGGAAGAGGGCAGTGGGAGAGAGGGCAGGCTTTCCCTGTCATAACAGGCCTGCTCCCAGAACGAGGGAGCATCTGTCCCTGGAGCCCGAAAGGTCTCATCACCCCCAGGCCCACCTCTGAATACTGGTGCCATGTGACTTACCCTTCAACAAGAATTTTGGAAGGCACGTTGGAGCCACAGCAACAGCCCCACACCCGGGCAGGGGCTCCACGTGATCTCCAGCAGGATCTCAGGGGTCCCATATGCTGCGTAAAGGTCCCGCTCGTCTGCCCCCAGAGGGAGTGATCACAGCCGTTACCTGACAGCGGTCACAGCTGTGCATCATGGAGGTCAGGGGAGGTGGGCATGGGCGCCAGGACCTACCTATTTCATGGCCCATAAGCCACATCCCACCCAGATCTGATGGACAGCTCTAGGGCACATGACCTCAGTGCCCTGAGTAAACCCAAGCCACTCCCAGGCCCAGCCTAAAACTTTCCCTGCTGCCCTCTGCCCACTTAAGAGGGTACTGGGTCACAGAGGGACCACAAAGAGCAGGGTCCTCCCCATCTAGGATGGCCTACCTCAGACCAGGACAGGAGCATTAATTGAGGGGCTGATAAATGTAATGTGGGAGGTCTCCAGGGGACCAGGGTGAGTGCTGGGGAGACCTGCCTGCACCACCCCAGCTCACACCAGGGTCAATACTCAGGAGGTCTCCAGGGGAGCAGGGTGTGGGCTGGGGAGACCTGCCTGCACCACCCCAGCTCACACCAGGAGCAATACTCAGGAGGTCTCCAGGGGAACAGGGTGTGGGCTGGGGAGACCTGCCTGCACCACCCCAGCTCACACCAGGAGCAATACTCAGGAGGTCTCCAGGGGAACAGGGTGTGGGCTGGGGAGACCTGCCTGCACCACCCCAGCTCACACCAGGATCAATACTCAGGAGGTCTCCAGGGGAGCAGGGTGTGGGCTGGGGAGACCTGCCTGCACCACCCCAGCTCAGGCCAGGATCAATACTCAGGAGGTCTCCAGGGGAACAGGGTGTGGGCTGGGGAGACCTGCCTGCACCACCCCAGCGCAGGCCAGGAGCAATACTCAGGAGGTCTCCAGGGGAACAGGGTGTGGGCTGGGGAGACCTGCCTGCACCACCCCAGCTCACACCAGAAGCAATATTCAGGAGGTCTCCAGGGGAGCAGGGTGTGGGCTGGGGAGACCTGCCTGCACCACCTCAGCTCACACCAGGAGCAATACTCAGGAGGTCTCCAGGGGAACAGAGTGTGGGCTGGGGAGACCTGCCTGCACCACCCCAGCTCACACCAGGAGCAATACTCAGGTGGTCTCCAGGGGAGCAGGGTGTGGGCTGGGGAGACCTGCCTGCACCACCCCAGCTCACACCAGGAGCAATATTCAGGAGGTCTCCAGGGGAGCAGGGTGAGGGCTGGGGAGACCTGCCTGCACCACCCCAGCTCACACCAGGAGCAATATTCAGGAGGTCTCCAGTGGAGCAGGGTGTGGGCTGGGGAGACCTGCCTGCACCACCCCAGCTCAGGCCAGGAGCAATACTCAGGAGGTCTCCAGGGGAACAGGGTGTGGGCTGGGGAGACCTGCCTGCACCACCCCAGCTCAGGCCAGGAGCAATACTCAGGAGGTCTCCAGGGGAGCAGGGTGTGGGCTGGGGAGACCTGCCTGCACCACCCCATCTCAGAAGGGCAACAGCACCTGACAGGCAGAAAATCTCGGACTGCAGAGACACCTGGAAAAACTCGGTGGTGGGTCAGGCCCCAGAGAGCTGGACCATAAGGGACAAGGGTGGTGACGCAAGGATCAGCAACTCCCTGGCCAGTGTGCGGGAACACCAAGGACAGCAGGCAC